ATAAATATACATGTATAATACAACTAAGAATGAAATTAATCAAACTGAAATTAGAGTTTAGCAAACAGTTATGCCAAAATAAATTTGAATGCTGAAAATTTTTTGACATTCAAATTCACAAAGTTCTGGTGATGGAACAGTTCCTTTTCCCCAGTCGAATTTCACGTTCAATTAGCGGCCGCCCCAGAAAACACACAGTCGATTTAGTGGTGAATTAGGCGCCTATCGGCCCCCGACTTCATTCGGTGGATATTTAGGAGCCGATTGCGGGGGTCGATTGCACGATAGGCTGAATATACATAAGCAGACCGAAAAGAGCAGCTGCTCAGGCTTCTTTGGTTAGACGCTGCTATTTGAGCGAACCATAACCATCTCTCGCTCATGATATGGCGTCCATGTATGTTCACGCGTACGTTTATTAACTCATGCGATAGAACAAACGAGAATTGATGTTACAATTTTTTTAGCTTACGTGGCAGTTAACTAATAATTCTATAACGTACATGATACAAATCAGGGACAAGTTTGATAATAAGTACGCGGCAGCAGAAAAAGCAACCCCTTTCGCTAAATAAGGTAATTTCAAAGCCGTACCATGGAATAGATGACTGATTTGTTAATGGCAGAACCAGAAATAGATGAACGTTCGGTTTTACATTCATGGCCAACAAATATCAGGTCACTACGATGTTGGGATGGCACTGCCTGGTGACAGGCATTGTATACATAACAATATACCTTCGTTTGTCCAAATAAGGTTCACAAAATTCATATACCTACGGGTCAACGTGATATTGTGGTACGGTTGACAAAATTCCAACTGCAATCTGACATGGAATTGTAAAATAAAATGATAGCGATTACGGACGAATAAGCGATTACGATTACGGACGACTTATTGCGACACAAATCACGTTCCTTGTTCTGAACGGGTAACAAAGCTTTAAGGGGACCGGCTACCCTAAAATTTTCAATTATGGCGTTTTCCGGTTTCTGTGCTCATCTGAAAGCTGGAATTCTGCTCTTTCCAATGGTACCACTCTCATCGCTGTACGTTAATATTTACGTTCATGACGTCTCTTTAAAGGGAAGCGGGTGAGAGAGTTCTTTAAGTAATTAGATATAAAGTAATTAGCTGCTGAAATCTTTGAATATAGTTTCTATTTGAGTTGTGCTGCAGTTACATGCTCAGTCTCATCTTAAAGCTGACAATCTGAGCTTTCCAACAATACTACTGCGATCCATGTACGGCAATATTGACGCAGACGCCTGGGCTTTAATTGGGGGCGGGGGGTGGAGTTCCTTAACTAAATAGACCTAAGAAAATTACAGCGGCAAGACTACATATCTTGGTGTATCTGGCATCTGAGCTCAGTTACCCTCCTAACATTGTACGTAGAGGTGCGCTACAAGTTGCTGAGGATGATATTTGTGGGAGGAGATAGATTTTCTGAAGTACCCCTTTTTAGCCGTTTTCTATGAATTTCACGTTTTCTATCAATTTTTTCGAAAAATACATAGGAGCAAAATATTTTTCTTTTTACTTTCTACGTATGTATGTGAAGTTTTATGATAATCGGATGATAACTGTAGAAGTTTTTCCGGAGGGTAGCCGGTCCCCTTAATCCCGTCGGAATGCACTACGGCTCTCTGGCGTAGCCACAGCGGCAGGGTAGCGAACATCCAACCAACAGCCAGTGTTCCACGTAACAGTGTGGTTGACGCCAGTTTGTGGGCTGTGTTCTGATTTCTGATGGAAAATTGCCATTTTAACAGAGGTAAGAATGAAAATATGCATCTGAGTATGTTATCGCTACTTACTCCTTCAAAGCGTTGTAAGAAATTCCTTTTCATCAATGAATTATGATATTTTTAGTAGCACGCAACAAGCATGGCTCATGTCTGCACGAGTGTCATGGCTGGCACTAAATTTCTTTCAAGTATCTCACGAGTCACAACTGTTCGAAGAAATTTCATTCATTGGTCCCAACGACATCGATGGCTAAACTTAGTCCGTGCTTTACGGTTATTACTTCACCTAGATGCTTTGTGGTGTTTGATGCACAAAATTAATTACTAGACATGTAAAGTGTTCAACTAAGTTAGGTAGTGCTATCCTGCTATTGGCATTGGTTATTTGCAACAACGCACGGTAAGTCTGTGACCCACCGTACGGTTAGGAACTCCGACTACCTACGGCCTCAGATTATTTATAATCTGTAGGAAATGATCACTTTGCTGGCTCCATAACTGGTCTTCTTTGATAAGTTAATGGTCTCAGTGAGTGAGGCTGTGGTACGGGACTGTAACTGGCTCTATCTGTTGATTTGTTTGCAACCGAAAGAGTTTGTTAACAGAACAAGAAAGCGTTCAAAAGTGATTAATGCATGCTTCCGCTGACATTATTTGATTTAAAATAATTCTACTAGAGCTTGATATTAATGCAATGATAGACCATTTTTAATTTGTTTTTGATTCATATTTCATTAATTCCATCATACTGCCCTGAATTATTTGGTTTCTTAATAACTGTGAAATAGATAAACGAAATTACTTTCAAAGATAGGGTTTTGAATTCTTCATTTCTGTAAAAAGGAATATATTATCAAATTATCTAGGTTTCAATCATGCGACGAAGACACCCTATTGAGGACCTAAGGAAGATTAGTTACACTGTCATGCTCCTTCAAACATAATTCTTGGTCAATTCCTGCTATAAAAAGCTCGAAACGATGAGCGTCTCATATTATTAATTGCATATTAGATGCTGTAGTCTGACAGACATCTATTATGCTCAATTCTATTGTACATAAACTGTTTTTTTCGTTTCGTTATTCAACGCATCGGTGAATGCTGGATAATAGTGAGCCCCTGTTATTGATGGACAATGTTGCTTACTTTAGAACTGATTTTTCCCTCTATATTGCAGCTAATGATCAACTTGAATTATGTAAATTCGTCTTGAAGTGGAAAGATTTCCAGGTTTTGAAAACTTTATATTGTTTTCAAATAACATTATTCTGCCACTGACTGCGTTCTCTTTTGTTTTTCATACTACCTTAGCTGAAACAGAAACAGGTCACGTGGGTAATCGAATGCCCCATCCCTGCCCCCCCAATAGAGGGGGAGATTTTTTTAGTCGGTTGTTAGGTTCGGCCGTACCTCTCCGGAAGGCATCAGGCGCTTAACACGCGCACCCCACGATTGCCCCAAGCTTGCCAGATATTCGACAAGAATCTGATTCAGCGCTTATTTCGCTCTGGCAACCGCAACCTAAAGCGGACAGAGAGCCGCTAATTTACGCGCCAGGTGAGCATGGGGCATCCCTGTGCCAGCGGCTGACAGGAATAAAAATTTTGATAGGGTTCCAGTTTTTATCACATCCAATTAGCTTGCATAGCAGTTCTGGCGGCGGCTCTCTTCTCAATCAGAAAAATTGAAAGGTCATAAAAATTGAAATTGAAATGTTCAAATAATGACACACTTTCTCACCCACGGCGTGAGCAGCTAGTGAGCGGACAAAGTACTAATGCGCTGGATGATCGCTGTTCATCAGGATGACCCACGCAAAGGAGAAGAGTGCGTCGCTGTTTGGACAATGTCTAACTTATATCTCTGAGCGCTCGTAATGACTCTTGTCGCAATGATGGTTATAATGAATGATAGTTATAGTACCTAACTATTATTCCTGGAAGAAAAACTCTTCGTAGCCAAAAAGACGCACCCAAAGGTTGAAATTTCCCGTCCAATTTAGTTTTTTGGACACTGCAGGGCAGGCAGCTTCTGAAACGTTCGCGGTGAATGCGTCATTCAGGCATTTAGTAAGTCATTCTGTTTCTGTAGTCAAGCATTAGTAGGTCATTGCAATCAGTGGAAAAACGATGGTGTCAATACTCAGAGAGACCGTGACAAAACTCAGGCAAAACGTGGAAAATACTATTGGAAATTTAGCTTCAACCATTGGTGTACAGAGGCATTAATCGTCAATGTTATTCGTACCAGCAGGCCTAGGAACAAGAGTTAGTCAGCAAACACAGACATAAACAAGCGTTTTTGATTCGCCTTCACGGTCGTCATGAAAACGCTTTAATCAACCGACGGTCCCTGTATATAGGATATAAATAAAATGCCTTTAAGTACCTTGGGTATGTCTTGTAATGGTGGGCTGCACGAATTGCTTTTGAACCCCCTGAACCTAAGATTGAATATCAGTAATGCGTGGCCACGTTTGTTTTGCCGGTTGTGTCAGTGGCGGTCAATTGAGTTTCAAGCTTTGCTTCAAAGCACGTCCAACAGGTTTATTGTCGGCTTTGTGCGAGTGACACGAGTTGACATTGGAATTGAAGTTATTGAAAGTCAATCAGGAAATATATACTTCGCCTCATGCGAGTAAAATTATGTAATAATAGAATAAATATCATAGCACAAAGAGAAATAATTTTGTAAGTAGGCCTCGGGGTCGGATTCACGGAGCTTTATCAAGAAGACATTGTCATGTAAAAATCTTGTACACATCAGCGCTCCTATGATTTATTGTTATATTTTCAGCTGCTGCATGATATCGAGACACTCGACGTTAAAATAAACTAAACCAGAAATTAACTTGAATAAACTAAACTCAGTTAAGCAACAATATCATCAGAGACGCGTACAATAGCAATGCTGATCTTCTAATTACATGAAGCGTTATAAAAGTTTGGAGTCATAAAAAAGTTTCAATCTATATGAATAAAAAAAAATTTAAATCACTAAACAATTGTTTGTGCCGTTCAACTGTGAGAAGTTTAGAACGAATGCAGTCTGTAAATTGGGTGTTTTTTATCTCTGAGAGTGTTGAGAGAATCCAGTCTTGTAAAATGCATGTGCTGCTGAACTTTTAAAAGTTATGTGAGAATTCAGCCTCGTGAAGTGTTTAACTTTGTAGAGTTTTAAGCTATTTCAGTCCCGCCAAGTGTGTGCTTTTCAACTTTAAGGGGCTTTGAGCGTCCAGTCTCCGCAGTATGGCTGACAGCGAAATGCAACAAGTTAAACCAGCGCAGTTGACGCAGTACCTAACAGCTCTATCAGGTAATAAATTAAAAATTTCATTACTTGACGATAATTCTATTCCAGATGTAATTGTGATTTTTTTGTCTGTTCTTTTATAGGTTTTTCTTTCCGAGTCATGAATGAAATTTTAATTAAAAGTAAGTATGATGACTAAATATTTCAATAACCCAATAATTCCTATTAATTATTCATATATCAATTCGTTTTTTACAAAAGTTATTATAAGCAGTTTTTCTGCTTTTTATCAATAACATTGTTATTGACTGTTCATAAAATGATGTATACAGGTTCAACTATTCATGCATGAAAACGTAGGCAGGAAAATTCCAAATGCGTTTTCAAACCCTCCCACGTATGCTAATGTTTCGTCTTCACAAGTCTTGACTCAAGCATTAGTTGCATGAATCTATATGTAGTCGGTGAATATTTACCAATAAATTTCAACTACATTTCTATTAAATGTATAATTTAATTCTGATGACATTTTCTTCGAACAAAAAACTAGGCTTCCATGAAAATTTGTTTGCTGCGTCGCCAGCCTCACTTAGATGGCCGTCATTGAACCGCCGGTGTTGACTTGTTTCAGTTTGAATTGACTTGCCATGCGTAACCAACCCTAATTAAATAAATTATGAAATTACCCTAACATAAATCGGGTGGCGCCTATAGGTTGCTGCTTAGGTATCTCCACACTCAGTGAGAAATATTCTGTATCTACATTGCCATGAACCCGATCGATATCAGCTTCTGGTCAGAATGTCGTTTCCGACTTTATAGTCGCCCGAGAGTATGAGAAGAGTTGGCCGAGCAGTCATACCGAGCTTTCAAATTGCTCAAATGTTGTTTTTGTGCTTCTCTATCACGGCCAGCATATATTGAGCAGCTGATTCACGTGTTATCCGAATCTTCGACGGCACCTATTACAGAATGGGATCTGCATCCAAATTTGGTTGGGGTGTAGGGTTAAATTATTTAACAAAGTCGATTCCATTGAATAGTTATCAAATATTCTTTGATAAGTTGTAAAGAGGTTGATCACTATCGGTAACGCATATTTTGTGTACGCTCACAGTGTCGGTGAGCGCGATTGCGGTTGGCGCGGTGATTGGTTTCAACGCTCCTGCTTCTTTTCAGCTACGAGCTGCCCAGGAATTCCCCAAGTTTAATGGCTATCGAACCACGTTTAGTCTTCAAAACACGACATTGAGTCTTAGCGCAGACACCAGCGGTACATCCGGCATAGGTAACCATGGTGACACCAGCATTTATCATTACTTTAGTAACGACACTGATAGCAACGAAACAACAATCATTCCTGATGTCGACATCATTTCGCAAAAATTAGCAAGCTCTCCCATGGTGATGGACAGCCAGCCAACATCAGCACGGTCCCCCATTGTGATGGACAACCAGCAAGCGCTAGCACGGGGTGTCGTGGTGATGGACAGCGAGGAGCTGTCGTGGTTCATGTCAGCATACGCCGTGGGGGCGCTGTTGGGGGCACTGGGGGGCGGTGCCCTCATGGACGCCAAGGGACGAAGAGGGGCGTTGCTGGCTTCCGCAGTGCCGTCCCTGGTGGGCTGGCTCATGACAGGTCAGTATTAATTTCGCATAAAATATTACTGAGCACTGTTATTATTCCTTATATCTGGGTGAAATCGACGTAATTGTAAAACAATAACTGATTTATTATTCCCCTAATGAACTCAATGACTCACCACTACTATGCTCCTGCAGCGTTTTGGAACCAACTCGTGAATTCGGCCTCTGATATTGTCTTCGTTGCCAGGTCTAGGGTCCAACTTACCCATTCTGGCGCTGGGCAGGGGAATGACAGGATTGTTTATCGGTTCGAGCTCAGCGGCTGGCAGCGCCTATGTAGGTGAAATCTCTTCGAGAGACATCAGAGGAAGGCTTGGTAGGTGAAACTTGGTGAAATTAGCAGTTTTTTTGCAGATTTTTACTGTGTAGCATTCTTCCAGAGACGTCGGATTATATATCTTGGAATTGAGTATTTGGGTTTAGCTGTTATATCTTAATGAATTTTCACAACTATTACTTTATTGGGCTGTTATTTAGAATTTTGTTGGGTTAACAACAGACGACCAAGTTTGTTCATATTTTTATGGTCAATGTAGTATGGACGTTGTAAATATACACAAATAAACGAATGCAAAGCAATATGCTTTCGCAACGGGAAACTAAAGTAATGCAACGAATTTTCTCTGAAAACAACAACTGGCAACAAACATAAACAGTATGTTAGAGACTTGTACTTTCACCTTGCAGCAGGATAAGGCACAAAATACAAATGTATTTAAAGCATTCATGATTTCTGAATTTTTTTGCCAGAGTGTAATATAATTCCACCCTGTACTAATGTCATGTCTGCTCTCTCCGATAAATTAAGGGGTCTTATAAACACGGAGTGAGGCTGTATCTTTCCACATCACGAGCTGAATGCGGACGTTGAACACTGATAAATCCTTTAGCCGGGCCAAACTGCTAGGGATGACCCGAACAAGGGCAAAAGTGCATCACTGTTTGGACAAAATTTCACTGATTTCGTTGAATGCAGAAAACAAAACAAAGCGAAACACATTGTTGGGCTGACGCTAAAAACTAAGTCATGTTTGCGGCTACCCGTGAACATCGAACGCAACTTTCATAATTTGTTACGGCTCCAACCCGTAGCTCGTGCTCCAATCTTGATGTTCAGCCACCCGTCGTTATAATCCCTTTCGACTCGAATTTTCACGGCTTAGCAGAGGTTCTAACCCACAGCTTACTGATACAATCCTATATTTTTTAGCTTTCTGACCACTCCGCCGATGTCTACCAAAAGTTTTTCTTTTCACAGTATTGCTCAGGCTCGAAGCCACCACTCTCTGCTCGAACCCCCAACTCTCTCAAACTCGAAACTCGCTGTTACAATCTTACTTCTCATGACCACCAGATCATCACGTCTACCAATATGGACCAGAATTTTTACAATTTAGTTGTGACTCGAACGCACAACTCTCTGCTCCCGTCTTTACGAACTCAACCACCAATCCATGATCTTGTTCGTTGCTCAGGAAGTTTCTACGAGCTTGCGCTGACCATGGGCATCTTGCTGAGCATGTTGGTGGGGACGTTCACGACGTGGCAGCGTTTGGCCCTGATCTGCACCAGCCCGACTCTGCTGTACGCCGTCCTCGTCTACTGCTGCAAGGAGTCGCCGGCTTACCTCCTCTTGAAGGGCAGAGAGACTGAAGCTAGGGCGGCTCTGCAGCATTTCAGAGGTCCTATTGTAAATTTGTTACTCATTTGTCAAGCCCATTTTTCAAAAAGTATTATGAAGCACATTATAGACGAAATTCACTTCTTCTGAGAGGATGAGTTATTGAGCAAAATCTCTCCCCACTTCCGTCATTAAACTTAGGAACTTCAAAGTCAAGGTAATTTAAATAAGATGCGTTTAAAAATTACTTTTTAAAGACAATACTTCTGAACAATCCAGTATCTTGGATGTTACACATGTAAAATGAATTTCTAATTTTATTTTCAAATATTAAAAAAAATTATTTTTCACAATTTTTTTAAGATGTCAAAATTTTGTAAATTATCAAAATTATTTATTCTGTCAACTGATTTAAGCATTGTCTCTGACTTTGTGCAATTGTGCAAAAATTCAGATCGATTGGACAGGTCAAAGTGTGTCATATATGGATTACAAGATTTGTAGCAGCCGAAATTATTTTTACATTTTTTTAATAACGAAAAAAAATTTTTAATTTATAAAATTATTTATTCTCTCAATTGATTCATGCATTGTCTCCAACTTTACGCAAGTGTGCAAAATTTCAGATCGCTTGGACAGGTAGCAGACAGACAGACAGACAAACAAACGACAAGAAGTGAAGTTAAAGAGAAGTGTTGTAAAAATAAAAAAGTAGGCATTTGTTCAAAGACAGAAACAAAGTTGTCTCTTAGCCCGCCTCCGTCAGCCGGTTGATCGTATCGGGTAGTTATAGAGACGAGTAAAGAAGCACGAGTAAAGAAGAAACCTAAGTAGTGACAATCCCGTATAACAAACATGAACATTCATGTAAAGAATTACAATTTCACTAGTTGTAATTATTTTCTGGCGGCTGATCCATTCACTATAGGGCACTGAGCACCTGTTAGACAATGATATCCCACTCTCTAAATCAATTGCTATCATTTAGTGGATTTTGCCATCAAATGAAGTGCTAAAACCTGCAAAAGAATCTGCCCAGTAGAGTTCAACTGAATGTTACCCAACAATATCAATTAGGCTTCTCTTGAATTAGAATCTGATCCCTGCATGACCTGCACTGTACCAAACATTGTTGGTGTTATTCGCCAGAAACAGGAAAGAAATTGAAATTAGACGACCATTTCTTAGAAACTAAACAAAAATTACTAAATTTCAATTACTTAGGTGCTGATTACTGCATCGATCAAGAAATTAGGGCCGTACAAGAGTCCCAAATGGAGGCCAAAAAGGCCAAATTGAAGCTGACTGACCTCAAAAAGGCCCACATTTACAAACCAATTATCATCACCCTCACCATTGGCGTCTTCTCAACGCTGTGTGGCAACGGAGTCCTAACTTCAAATCTCAGCACTATTTTCAAGGTTAATAGTTGTATAAAATCTTGCAAAATGTTCCTAAATTTAGATTTATTTTTGACTGCGAAAGACAGATTTTGACTGCGAAAAATGTGGTTTCACTTTCACTGTACATAATACAGTGTACTAAGTCGCACAATAATAATTCTTATTAAATGCAACGATTGCGTAATTATCGTTGTATCGCCCTTTTAGAACATAGGAAAATGTTTTTCACAAATAAAAACTCAGCCTTATTCTCTAAAAGATGTCCACAAATACACTATGATGATCGTGATGTTTTCTCGTTCAACTGGATTCTCCGCCGCATTTTTATCATACCTATACCCATTAAAAATTTGAGGGTGGTTAGCTTCTGAATTAAAGCTCGCCCACCGCATAAATTAGCGGCTCTACGTCCACTTTGCGCTCTGCTTGTACGAGCGAAATAAGCGTCTGCTTAGAATCCGGCCACGGGTCGAGCGAGTTTGGGGCGATCGTGGGGTGCGTTTTTTGAACCTGATAGCTGCAGCATGGAGAATGGAGGCAGAATCTGAAAAGTGCCTTTACAAATGCCCCATCTCTGCTCCCCATATAATGGGAGAAAGGTAAGCGGCATTTGATGCCGAATAATAATGTGGAAAGGCAGGGGGCATTTGATCGCTCTTATTATGGGGAAAAGGAGGGGCATTTGAATCGGTGAACGCTTTATAAAATATTTTAATTAAGCAAATGGAAAGGAAGCAAGAATTTGAACCGGGAATTATACAAGTTAATGCACCTTTCAACCCCACCTTTCCAAACATTCTCTAATATTTACCAGAATGCAAGATTCTCCCACGTTGCCCGAACAAAACAATCTTTAATAATCACCAGCACTCGACAATCTCCCACATTGCCCGAACAAAACATTCTTCAACATTCACTAGCACTCAAAAATCCACGTTCTCCAAAATTAAACACCGCTCAATATTGTCCATCATTATCCATGTAGGGAAAATTCTAATACATTCACCCGTTCCAAACATTTATACCTATTGCGATTGCCAAACATTTTCCACATACGGCAGAGCAGAACGTTCTCTCACCTTAACCAATATTAAACTTTCTCCCATTTTCGCCATCACTAAACAATCACATATACTGTTGAGCATTCTTCCGCAATAGCCACTTAAATCAGTCCTCAAAAATCTCCTAAGATATATGAAAACAACTGTCTGGTGTATCTACAGGGCTAATTTTTAACCATTTTAAAACAGCGCTAATTCAGTATGGTAGCTAATTCCAGTGTTTCCGGGTACGAAGTACATAAAATGTAATCAATTGTTCGCGCCACCCGCGTGCATTCGCATCCAATGTAATTTTTTAACGACTAGTTATCTTACGACACGTCACTCGTGTGTACGGTCTATCGAACTATTTTGCACAAGTCTATAAAATTCTGCCTACAGTGATTGTAAAGAAGAATAGATCATTGGCTACCGTCGAAATTCCAGGTGGAACTTGTGACCTTCCTGACATTGACATGTTCAATGGCAAGTTTGGGAATTTATACAGTGATAATTTATAATTTGATAACGCTTCGATTTCACTCTGGTATAAAACCCGATGATACAATGAAAAAAGCATATAGTTACAGAAAACGAGCAACTTGGTTACTTACGAGTTACGGCTACGATTTGTATGTTTGTTTGCACGCGCTTCTCTTGCAGCGGCTCGGTGACTGCCTGACTGGTGAAGACTACACCCAACTATGCAGTTGAACTCTTGACTGAACTTGCATTTCCATAAATGGATCCAGCTTTCTCGATGAAATAGAAATTAGAACCTGAAGTATATGGACCCGAGCTGCTAAAACAACACGCTTATGCCAGCATACAGTATACCTTAAGTTAAAAATTTCCATTACTGCCAGCTCCAGAATCTTTGAAGCTCAACTGAGTGTTGTAGAATACCGGAATCATGGCACCATGCCGACTATTCACTCAGTGTGAATAGTCCGGCTATTCAGCCGGTGTCGTGTTTTTCAACGAGCTTCATTTAAGAAACATTGCTCAGGAAAGCTAAGAAATTTGTAGTTTTTTTATAATTTTCAGCTTACAAAATCTATTATTTTTAAGTGAAATTCTTCACAAGTTTACCTTTTAATATCCGAAGGTACATTGTTCAATGCCTGTTATCAGGCGACGCACTATCATCACAATATCAAGCAATTTCATCCCAAATCACAGTGATCTGAACATTTAATAAAAAACATGTAGGCCCTGAATGCAAAACCGAACGTTCATCTGTTGGTTTTTTAGCCAATTGATAGTTTACATATTATTTACGTATATCATGAGAGGGATTAGGAATTTATCTCTTGGAGCTACAAACAATACTTTTTTTACTGTCACGTACTTATCAAGTATTTTTCTTCTCTTGCAGCCCTAAATCATATTTACATGCCCTCAAGCAGCATGTGGTTTATTAAATATAGCAATATAAATTCAGATATTTTTGTCCTATAATGAATGAAATTACTATTTAACTACTACGTACGCTCGAAAAATTGCAAAAGTCAATTCTCATTTTGTTTCATCGTATGCCTTAACAAACGTACGCGTGTACATACATCGACGCTGTTCCGTGAGCGGGTGATGGTAAATGGTAATGGTTCGCTCAAATACTAGCGTCTGAAATGAGAAAGCCTGGTTGGCTGCTCTTTTTGGTGTTACGCAGATTTGGCCCACCGTACAATCAACTCTTGCAATAAGCTCATAATTTCCAGCCGAATAGGGTAGGTGGCCGATTTGCACCTGATTCACCTCTAAGCCGAGTAGATGGAGCCTTGGGCGGCCCTGCATGGATTCTAAAATTCGACTGGGTAATAGCTCGTTTTCGTTTTAGACATCTAAGAAGAGAACTTATGTTTTATTTTATCCGTTTTAAATTTTTCACTTGTGAAGTAGGAAATACATTGTGATAAGTTTTTATAACGAACACGTGATCAACCAAACAAATTTTTTAACAAGATTAAGTCTGATTCGAAGGCGCCCGAACGCCGCCTTGCGACCATGATAGCTCGGCCCATGTCATGTTCCAAGTGACTCTCGAAAATGGCACTAGTTAGCGGCTGATATCAGTAGATTGCCAATTCGCAACAAATGTGCCTTTATGGTGATGTTGGCGAACATATTAGAATGAAGTGTGATGAATGGAGCTCTACGACCTTTTTTCTGCAAGGATTGTTCACCTCTAATGATGCCGTAACCAATAGAAGTTAAAGTTTGTGAATGCATAAGCGTTTCTCATGCAATGAGTCCATCTTCATATTCATTGTAATAGTATAGCGGCAAAGTGGTAATGCATACCACTGAACAATGATATCTATAACTCCATGCTTTCCCTATCATAATATCGGATGCATTAACACATATGCATTGGAATATTTCAAGCAATTCGAACATCAGGTTTGCGGGTTGATCTGCCCGTAAAATTTGATCTTCGGGTTGATCTTCTGCCTTAAAATGGAACCATGTGGATGGAACTACTCTCCACATTGCTCGCTACAATGAAAATATCAAGGAAGTCTAACTAATGATAAACCAAATATTGTTGTGCAGAACTCCGGCAGCGAGTTGTCAGAGAACGTGAGCGGCGTGCTCTGTACTGCACTGAAGATGTTGGCAGGAGTTGCAGCCGTGGTCTTGGTGGAGAGAGTTGGCAGGAAGTTTCTGCTTGTGGTATCTTCTGCCTCCATGGCTGCCTGTCACTGTGAGAATTTTAAATGACTTTAACAGAAATATTCGGGGAAAAGTAAACATTTAACATATTATAGCTTGGTAAAGTTGGGTTGACTGAGGTGTAAAGATCACCAAGATTGGAGAACCGGCTTGCGTGTTCAAAACCCGCAGTTGTACGAATTCTGGCCGAAATCGGCAAGGTGACCAGGCGGTTAAGAATCGGCGACAAGCCATAAGAGACTAATCAAAGCTGAAACCGCTATATTGCTTTTCTTTAAGAGAAATATCAGCGCGAATATACATATAAGATGATTCAACAAAAATTCCGAAAAATTTGTATTGAAGTTTCATGGACGATTATTAGTGGGTTTTTAGTGCGTAACTTATGGATCTCAAAACTACTGCAAACTGCCGAAACTTCCTTTTTAGAAAAATTATTCTGAAAGGCAGGTATCATTACTGTCCTATTATAGAGGTGTCACCATGGATTAGACCATATCACCTCTCAGAATTTTCATTACTTGTTGAGGGAATCGAACACTCAACTCACTGCTCCAAACCAGCTGGGCTTAACCGCCCGGCCACCTCGCCGATTTTGGCCATAACAGTTTCAGGTAGCTGGGATCTAACCCGCAACTCACTGCTCCAATCTTGGTATACAGAACTGAAACGACTAGGCCCCCTTCATTATGGGATTAAAGGCTTGGTTAAAATTGAACAGATTTGAATTGAATAAAAATAATATTGCAGGTGGTCTGGGTGCATTCTTCTACATGCTATCGGTGGATGAAGAGTGGACGCGCCGTTATCTGTTTTGGCTTCCGATGACGGCGCTCATGATTTTCGTTATAGCTTATGGGGCGGGACTGGGGCCAGTGATATGGATCCTGATAGGTGAGTAACTATCACTTATAATTTGAAATAAAATATCTGATAGAGATTTGTAGGTGAAATCACTGACGAAATTTATTTAGGAATCTTCTAGATAAGTTTCACTTAAATTTCACTAGTTACATGAATGATTTTTTGTTTGAGGCTTGCTTAGTAATTGAAAACATTGAATAAAATAATATTCTCTTACTTATGAATTTACGATCCACCAATTAAATTTTTGCCTGGAAATTTTTTCTATTTTCGATGTCTCGTAGTATACGCATTCTGAAAACAAAATGAAAGGTATGTACAATAGACATAGCAAAAATAAATTTACAATTCCTATGACTTTCTCCAAGAAAATTTCTGACCATTTAAGTCACGCGATATACGTCCATTTAATAGTCTAAATGAATTCTGAAGCGATGGAATTGCGGTGAATAATTCAACAAGTAACCTCTAGTTAGTTGATAAAAACAAATGAATTAATCGACCAATTTTTCGAAATAATATACAGTGGAATACAATGATGACCAAATCAGGGGAGATGTTGCCCCCTCTGGCGAGAAACGTGGGTGCGGGACTGGCAGTGGCGGGCGTGTGGACGGGATCCTTCGTGACCGTATACTCCTACGAATTCCTGCAGGTGAGTCAAGCATGTGGACGGAGTCCTTGCTACCGTGAAATATCCTAACGAAATTTAGATGCGGCACGACTTGGGTACACGCCTATCAGCCGGTCTGTGACCACTTCATTTAGGCTCGAACAGCTGACTCGAAACAGCCTGCAGGTTCGGTACGACTCGGCATACGATCAACCCTTTTCATACTCTCATGACACGACAAAGTCGGAAAAGGAAATTCTGACCAGAAGCTGATTTCGATCGGCCTAGCAGACCGAGAATAAGCTTAGGCGACTGCAGCGACTACTTGGCTGAAGCATAGGCGGTTCCACTTGTGCTCGGGTAATACGAGTTCCTGCGGGTGAGACGATCGTGTGGGAGGGGTTATTACTGACCAGTCACTAGGAACATAAGAGCACATCGATTAACATTTTCAAGGCGATTAAAGAATTGAAAAAGAAGAAATTTCGAAGAATGAAAGAAATTAAAAAGAAGATACAAATTTGCTCTGTAGGGTATCAAGGCTATTTAAGAATATGTATAATTTGTTCAAGATTCATATTGTCGTGCAGAGGATGAAGAGAAAACTGTTTGCTGCATTCCGAAAGAAATTATTGTAATTATTGTCCAATTAATGATGCTCTCTTCTACTTATAGCATGACGGAGAGCGACCCTACACTGTTAGAAAAAACGGTCGAAAAATGTGTAATACACGTTATATTTCGATGCTCATTTACCATAATCCGGTCATTCAGGTTCTTTACCGTGGTTTGTTGGACTTCAGCGCCCAGCGGTAGAGGGCGCCACGGTCATCAGTCGAGTCAATACCTAGACGCCATCTTGAGTGGCAGACATCACTAAAGAGCTAAATTTATTCAATTTATTTTTGCTAGTTTATACTAATTTTTGTTGTTGGCTGTGATTTTTGTACAAATAATAAGGTATTGTGTGTTATTCAGTTGAGTTGCTCATGTTTATTCTCTTATTCTTTGAGTGTTAATACTTTCAGTTGCGTTGGTTCGACATCAGTCGATTTCTGAACTCTATAGACTAGAGCCAGCTAGAGATACTTTGCAGCGAGGTCGAGGAGAAACAACCTCTTATTCATTATATTTCGATACTTTCAGGATGTAGTGCTTCTATTCTTGTGGGATTCAAATAGTTTTTATTGAGGGCTTTGCCGAGTTGGGTGCAGTAGGGACTAGGGAGGTATGCGACCTGGGCGAATTGTGACTTCAGTCAGCTTAGTGACAATTTGTCGTTGACGATTTACACTGCTCACAAAGTAATTTTTGTGAGAGGTAATAAATGAGCAGGTTTGAATATCATATTGTATTGGAATTTTTGCAACTGAGGCTTCCTTTTAAAACCTTGCTGACATTTTGGTTAAACGAGTGTGCCAGTTTCTTGAAATTATAGAATATAGTCTAGATGGCGCATCGACCCTAGAGTTCCACTCTGATTAGTCTCTTTTACAGTTAACCAGTGAACTATATAACTAACTTAACTTGGTTGATACGTTTTGTTTACATCAATTTTATATGCCAAAACTTCAGCAGATTATTGCACAACTTGAAAATTGAGTCTTACCTATCACCATTTTTAGCCCATCGCCAATTTTGAAATATTTCTACTTTGTTACTTTAAATTCTGTGATCAGGTTGGAATTAAAATCACATGTTATATCACAATGTTGGCAGTTAGGCCAACTTAAAACAAATTTTATCCACTCATCAATAAGTGAAGCATTCAGTATTGTTACCCTATTATTATCATTATAACATGCTAAAATTACTAATATTAGTAACAATATTATAGGTTCAGTTGTAAATAATAATTTACATTAATATTTTCTAGTAATTGTTCAGAGCTTTGACTTTTTATGTACCATCAATTGGCTTACCAGCCCTACCCCAATTTGGAATATTGGGCAGAACTTCAACCGCAAAAGTTTTCAAAAATTGCAGCTGAAAACAATTGTTTCACTGGCTATTTTAAAAAGCTACAGCTGAAAACAATTGTTTCACTGGTTATTTTAAAAAGCTGCAGGATAAGTTAAACCGCTTTTCCAATTTTTCACCAAAGAAAATTGGAAAATGTCATAGGGATGGGTAAAGTTAGCCAGATCCACAGGCATTATTTTCCAATTCATAGGTGGCTTCTGCCCAATTTCCCAGTTAGGGCCCTACCTGAGACAGAAAGAGAGAGGCTACTTCAGTTATATATAGAAGTGTGAATGTAGTGCTATATTAATAATAACAAATTACTTATTTACTAATCAACTAATCTTTTAATAAAGCAATTCCTTATTTAGTCACTAAATAAAGCAATACTTTATTCAGTCACAAAAAGCTACTTTTAGTCAGTTTTTTTTTTTGTGACTGAAAAATGTATTGCTTTATATAGTGACTAAATAAGTTATTGCTTTATTAAAAGATTAGTTGATTATTTGAAAATGTATTTATTATTATTAATGAAGAAATGCATTCAACACTTCTATATTTGACTGAAGTAGCTTCTTTACTTCAAAGTCTAGGTAGGGGTGGTGGGATAATTGATAATATGTTGAAATTCAAAGCTCCGAACAATTAAGAGGTGGTATTTATCTGAATTATTATTCCAAATAAATATTAATTTTTAATAATAATATCAATTTTAACATGATACAACTGATAGGGGACAATGCTCAATGCTGCCCAAAATGAAAGGGTGAATTCAGTTTGTTTACGAGCATGTGATATGTTGACCTAAAATGTGATTCCAGTATTTAAAATACTAGAGTAGAAATATCTAGAAGTAGGCAATGGGATAATTATGAGGATAAGATACAAATTGTGTGACAATTGCTGAAGTTTTGGCAAATGAAATTCATGCCAGCAAAATCCATCAAGCAAGTTAAGTTAGTTTTTAGAAATTCTGTTTAGTTCTTCACTGCACAAGTATATCTGTAAGAGACTGTAATAATATTTGCTTGGTGTATTTTTTATTGTTTCACAAATAAATATTAATTCCATTATTTTCTGTGCTCCCAATCAATTTAAAAAAACATTAGCATGATTTTATTGATCTGAATTCGCCCCAGCTCTCCAGTTTCTCAAGTGCCTCATTTGAGGACAGTTCTTTACTTGCATAAAAACCTGCATATGATGCATCTCATCACATGTCTGCATTGTTAATATATGTCACAACATTTTATTTCATTACAAGCCACAGAATAATTGCTGTTACAGTCCATTATCACTCATTTCAATTTAAAAAAGACCTATTTAAGAAATTTATTTGTCAATTAGGCAAATAATTTTTCAAGTTTACATAAAAAATCATCAAGGAATGGTCCATAATGAAAAAGAAATGCAC